TCTCTTCCTTCCCTGGGCCCCCTCCCCCCCCCCGGCCCGGCGCGGGGGGGGGGAACGGCGGCGACAGCAGCTGCCGCCAGAGCCAACGGCGAAGTAGAGCTTGGTGGAGGCGGGCTGCCGCCGTTCCCGCCTCCTCCCCCTGCGCCGCGCGGCCCTCCTGGGCCGGTATTGCTCCCCACTGAGGCTGAGGAGGTCGGCAAGCGAGTCGGGCTGTGCTGGTTGCCCCTCAGGAGCTGGAAAGGGACCGTGGCGCGGATCGGCTGGAGCAGCCGGCTAGTCCCAGCGCCGCCACCGGGGGCGCCTCCGCCGCCACCGCTGTTTCCTCCGCCGCCAGACCCATTACTACCGACTGAAACTCCGGCGTTACCGCTGGTAGGGGACCCGGCGGCTCCGCGGCGCATCCTCTGCGGGGGCTGGTGGTGAGGAGGGGTCTGCGAGGAGGAGCTGGACATGGCGGCGCTCCGAAGGCGAGAGAAACAAGGAAGGCTTTCCTCTGACTCTCTCACGCGCGAACACGCCCCCTGAAAGAGGGGACGGGACGAGGCCGAGAGAGGCAGGCTCCAGAGCGTTCCGCGACGCGTTTATCGCCGGGCTGTGGCCATGGCTGCCCGCCTCGGCAGCTTAACCCCTCACGGCTTACATCGTCCATACGACGAGGCGGCGACTACTGGAGAAGAGGAGGAGCGGCGGCGGCAACGGAGAGGGCGGGGACCTTTAGGCTCGCGCCCCCGGCCTGACTAGAAACTCGGGACAGACCGCACCTGCAGACCGCCACCTACCCTCCAGCTCCGCTGCCCTCCTTCCAAATGGCCCTCCGCAGGCTACACCACCCTGCTTGTAGCGGGCAAGGGGCGTCCAGCCATCCGCCCATTGGGCACCCGGCCGCCGTTAGTTCGAGTCTGATTGGTCAGAATCCCCGAAAGGACAGCGTTTGTAACCAACCATCGCCTTCCACTTTACCTGTAGGAGGAGAAGAGGGCGAGAGGGAAGGGGTGGTAGCTGAAAGCGGCTTTGTGCAGGGAGGGGGTAGGGCAGTTAGTTTTAGTAAAGTTAATATTACAGGGAACACGTGACAAAGGGCTGTCTCTGATAATTGTTACTGTTTGCTTCCCAGGACTGTTTCTTAATGTATATGCGTAAGGCTGGAAATTATAAACAAATACCACTGTCCTAAAGTGCTAATCCTACTTAGGAATTTAAGAAACCCTACAGAACGTTGGAGCAATACCAATTTGAAATCACTTAATTCTAAGAAAATAACGATTGTTTAAAAACCAATGCAGTGCCTTCACTTAAACTGAAAATCCATCCACAGAAGAGCATAGCTTTTTTGAACAAATCTTGGGGCTTTTTTGAGCCATTCAGAATTCTTGTCTAAGCTCTTCTTTTGAAAGTACCTTAACTGAAAATCAGGAGGATCTTTCTTCATACTTCATACAGATTTAGATATTGTGAGCTATTTGCACTAGAATAGCAGCTTAAGGCTGTTAGGCCTATATTTTATAAGGATTCAGTTTTATTCAATTAGATTGATTTTTTTTTAATTGATCAAAATTGTTCAGGTTTGATTAAGAATACTATTTTAAATATTGATAATGTTAATATAAATATTGTAATATACTTTAATGTAAATGGATGTAAAATGATAGAGCATGCACTGGGTCTGAAGTTGGAATGCAGCATCATCTCCATGGCAGATATCATTGCTAATATATCTACTGTACTAAGTTTTGTTTAACTTTTTCTTTTTTTGCAACTTGGATCACAGGTATGAGTTTTTAATGCTTCACAAAGTCCTGCAGCAACATTATGGCCTGCTTCACACACATGTAAACCCTAAATTGGTTTAAGTTGGGTCATTGACTAAATTCAAGCTATTGTAGTTTATGGTGACTGGTTATTTACCTATCACATCAAACCATTATTTGTTTAACCATGATTCAAAGTGTTGGCTTCACACATTAAGCTATATATCATAAATTTACAATGGCTGGCAAGTTCACAAATCACAATAAACCAAAAATGAACTTTACTCTAGTTTAACTCAATATGTAAAGCTAGCCAATTTTACTTTAGACTATGATTAAACAAACCCCAATTCAGTGCAATCTGCAAGCCCAGCTATTCCCCATGGTAACTCCTTAGTTATAAACAGCCACTATTTAAAATATCTTGATGGCAATATTAAAATATCTTGATGGCAATATTTTTTATTATTTTCAACCACCATTTTAATAGCTAGAATCTCTTCTGTGGCAATCTGTAGAATTCTAATTGATAATTTGTAATGCAAAACCTAGTGATACTTTCAACCAAACAGAGGAAATTGTATTACAATATTTTTCATCTGCCAGAAACTAACCATCAGCCAAGTGGCTTTCTAACTGCAGAGAAGTCTACTGGATAAAGGTAGTCCCCAGTTTAAGAACAATTTCCCAAGGTCTGTCCTTAAGTCAAATTTGTATGTAAGCCGGAACAGTATCATTGTAATACTGTATAACTAGTATTGTGTAATTAACTCTAATCATTGGGTATTTAACTCAAAATTCGCTACAATAGGCTCCGTCTTAACTATGGGTCATCTGTAAACCAGGCATTCTTAACCCGAGGACTACCTGTACATTTTTGAATCAGTCTAGAGAGAAAAAGATCCAGACCTTAGATAAAAGACCCAGTTCCGTAATTACCTCTACCTCAATGTGCATAAGAACAAGCTCATTCTTCCCAAATCTAGTGTTCTCTATAAGTTTTGAGAATAAGCCACTCAGAATTCCATGGAAGTTATCCTTTATATTGTTTATTGTTTATAAGATTTATATGCAACTTTAGTGTGAACAACTCTAAGTGGTGTACAATTAGAGGATCCATATACAATATATCAATTCCAAATATCGATAAAAGCTATATTCTTATATAACAGTATAACAATCATTTTTGGCACTGACATCCAGCAGTTTCTAAAGGACTTCTGAAACAGCCAGGCCATGAGCCTTTGAAAAGCCATAAAAGTGGGGTCTGCTCTTGCTTCAGGGGTCAAGCTGTTTCACAGGAGGGTAATTAATTTCCATGACTCCTGTTGTACCTCGTGATAAGTGGGGACCTTTAGCAGTCATTCTCTGCTCACTCAGATTGGATAGACAATCTATTTGTGAAAAGTCTTGCAGATCCTCAAGCCCTGAGCCATATATTAGTCTCATATAGTAATTACCAGCATCCTGAATTGCTCTTGGAAACACACTGGAAACCAGTGCAAATTCCAAAGCAGCATTTTATATGGCAGCAGCAACCTCAAAAGCATACAGACTGCTGCATTTTGAACCAGTTAAGGTTTCCAAATTGTTTTCATAGATGGATTTTCTCCTAGATGAACCGTCCTCAACCTGGTTCTTCAGGTCTTCCAATGGTGTGCCCATTGCCACTGTAACTGAGTCCATCCATCTTGCTGCTAGATAGTTTTCTCTTTCTTTCCATATTTCCCAACATTATAGACTTCTCCAGAGAGCTAGATCTGGAGAATAATGTTTGCAAAATATGGCAATTTAACCCTGGTCATTTGTGCTTCAAGTGAGAACTCTGGGTTGATTTGTCCAATGATTCATTTCTTTGTTTTCTTGGCTGTCCATGGTATTTTTAGGAGTCTTCTCCAACACCAAAGTTCAAAAGTGTCAATACTCTTTCTATTTGTCTTCTTCAAAGTCCAACTTTCACTTCCCTGCAGTATCATTGGGAAAACCATTGTCTACATGATTCTGATTTTTGTAGGTATAGACATGTCACAGCATACAAATATTTTTTCGAAAACCTTCATTGCTACTCTAGTAAGTGCTGGTCTGCAGCATGTTTCTTGACAGCTGATTCCTTTACTGTTGACAGTAGATGTGAAAAGGCAAAAGCTACCCACTACTTCAATAGTGTCATTGCCAGTTCTAAAGCTGGTTGCTGTACTTGTTGTCATTAGTTTGGTTTTCTTTATATTTAATCTTAGCTCTGTTTTTTTCACCGTACGCCTTTACTTTCATTATTAGAGCATTTTCAACTATCAGAAT